CTACTCTACTCTACTCTACTCTACTCTACTCTACTGACAGCACTGCATTCTCATGATATAATGAATATGCTAGTGCACGTTACAAAAAGCATCTGTAAATGATCTTTCCCTCTGATGTTGCCAGAATTGTTGTTAGTAGGAGGATACAATGAATTAATTTTATTTTTTGGAATAAATCGCTCATATCTTTCCTAAACAGCCCTTATAACAAGCCAAGCTGCAGGTCTTGGCTCCATGCCCAAAGCACTTATTGTTTTGGTTCATGTAGATGCGGCAGCGCAAAGTTCCAAAGGGCTGGCTGAGGTGGAAGATAAATCGAAGGGTGTGGGGATTAATAAATACACTCATGAAGTGCAGTCACACCAAAATTTACCATTCCTGTCTGTGAATTGACCTGCCTCCTTCAGTTCACCCAAAGATCAATCTGACTGAACTTTGACACACAAAATTTGCTATTAGTCAACTAACTGTGCCAGCTCCTGTGGGTGATTTTGACAAGGGCTGCTACTTCCTGTCCTCTCCTAGTTTTGACTACACCCCTCTTAAGTACATTTTGCCAGAGATGTTCAGAAGACATAAAATAGAAGTCCGAGTCCAGTTTGTCGGATCCCAGTTTGAGTTATATCTCTTCCCAGAGCAGTTTCTCCTTTTGAATTGCATCCAGATTAATAGGTTTATAGAAGGTTACTGTGTCTCTGAGGTGCCAGAGACCATCGTTTTTGAATTTGGAGAACCTGCAGATAAATAGAAAAGCTAAACACAGATATTCCCTTTCAATTCAGTGGAAAGTGGGTCTAAACATCTGCCTCCAAGGCAGACTGGAGGCTGAGTGCCACATTTTTACATATGTCTCTTAGCTTGATTAACCCTGATATGACACAATAAGCTCAGCTGTCAGTTTATTAGGTACAGTACACCAAGCTAAAACTAATGCAGGCAACTATTGATCTGACTACACCTTTATACACATCTTCCACCAAAATATGAGCAGCTCGCCTCATTTGAACAATCCTCCCACCTGATTGTGCCTCTCTTCATGCTGTACGTGCACCGTTTACTTTACAGACCACACATCCCCCCCGAGGCTGTTCAAAGCCACTTTCAAGGTTAGGAAATTACAAATTGCCAAAAATGACCAAGTGATCAAACTGTTCCCAACAGAGCTGAACCAGAACATCTGGGTTTAAGACTCCTGTGTTCTTTTGGAACAGTGTCAAAGCAAGAAACTTTACACAACAATTTTACACAACCAACAATTAGACATACCACACAGTTACCCAATATACTACCACCCTGCACACCACATTCTGATAATATTCTTGACATTATCATGGGCATAGAGTAGATAAAACGGAGCTTTTTAATGACTGACATATGAATGATTACAGATCTGTATTTGAAATAAACCAGCACAGAGAACTTGCTGCTCAGCGCCATTCTACTGCCCAAAAAGTGCTTTTCTCTCTATTGAATAAGGCTGTTGGCTAAAAATATCTCACACAATGCATTTGCAACAACAAATCAAGAACAATTTTGCTTTGCTCCAGGACAACTGCTAAGAGACACTGTACGGTGAAGACTCAACGCAGGACATTCACAGGGAAACATCTCGGCCATTTTGTTTCTTGCCGTTTCTTTTCTTCTGTGTTCCTTATTTTTTGTACAACAAAATAGATTCTCTGAAAGCTTAACCTTTATTGCTGGTGTCCAGTTAGTCATATTCATCGTACTCTGGATCCATGCTTTCACCCTGATAATACGTCCCTTGTGTGGAGTAGGACCTCGTCTTCATTGAGCAGTTGGTATCCATCAAAATTGCCTGAAAAGAAGAAAGGGTCATTTCAGTTGGAAAAGGTCATTTCTGAAACAACATGTGTCAGAATTCCTTGAGTAAAAGCTCTTTTTGACACCAATTAAAATCCAGCACTGCGTAGTTTTTTTTTAAATATATATTTTACTTCAGCTCATGTTGCAAATGTGAGGAGGTTCAAGGTTTTGAGTTCAGTTACTCAGATGATTTTAGGATCCTGTTTGACAAGTTTCAGGATGAATTTAAGTTGAAACAATCCACTGAATGCAGTTGTGTTGTGTTCCACTAAAGCTCCCATGTGCAAGATTTGAAAACCGACTGACTTCAGTGCTAGCAGGGTTTTCCCTGCCATAGAAAGGCTTAGGTGCAGCACCTAAGTGTTTTTGCAGAATGCATAAAAGCAACATATCAGATGAATGTAAAAACAATGGTGACTTACTGTATATGCATTAAAAATAACAGAGAGGTGACTTGGTCTCAAAATAAGACATGCATTTAAGCTGGCGGTGGAAGCTGATAACAAACACTCTAGAGTGGATCACATCTTTTCTACAGTTACTCTCAAGACCAGGTGTTATGCAGAGTTCTGTCCGCATACAATCACATCCCCCTTGGGGAAGCATGTCCCCTCCCAAGCACATTCGTCTCAGCAGCCTCACTTTAATCACCACCCTCCCACAACAACTTTCTACCCACTGACCAGCAATGCGATTAGGAGGTGTGCTCCAGCTGGTCCTAGAGAATCTCTGATCTCACACATAAACCCACACACAATATTTACAACAGTGCAAGCAAAACAGCACATGAATGCTGCTCACGAGCCACAATACCCTGCATATGTTCCAGTCATGTTACAAGTATTACTGACCACAAGTAAAGCCAGTCGGTGTGCTGCCGTCTTTCACTCCCAGCTGTGCCGGGCTCATGTTAGGAAGTAGAAATGAGATGACCCACTATAGATTGTGTGCTGCCATATTAGATGGCTCTTTGGGTCATAAATTTGAAACTAGACTTAATTTCACTTTGTCATTGATGTTACTACATTATGTCCATAAAACAAGGAAATACATTATGTCATTATAACAGGAACAGGACATACTAGATCTTAATAATGTGAAAAATATCATTTTAACATGAAAGTATCTCATTATAATGACAAAGGTTTCTCATTACAGATACTGAGCAATTTTTTTTTTCTCATGGTAGCAGCAAAATGATGCCCCGGGAAATAACTCAGCTAACTATTATTACACATAAAAAGTAGGATTATTTCCTTCATTTTCAAGCTACAAATCTAAAACTACAACACAATATGGTAAATTCTTCTTTGTCACTGACTAAGAAAGGTAATCCTTTTCTTCCAGAATGAGTCCTTCTCCTTGCTGAAAGTTATTGCCATAAAAATAACTCTCAGGTATCATAAGAATGCTTAGCTTTAGTGCAACTCAACACAGGGCCGTTCAAAAACCTTTCACTGAACTGGGCAAACTGCATCATCACATCTGGCACTGAATGATTTACACTCTGGCAAAATAATGAAATGTTCTTTAATATATATAAAATGGCTTTGCTGAAAACTACCACGCCATGGCCAATCTGCTCACTAAGGACAGAATCAGGTCGATCCCCTAGTGAAACACTTATGAAATGGCAAAGAAGAAATGAGAGAAATACTGATGAAGGAAAGTTGCAGAGGAGAAGAGTAGATCAGGGTGAATACAAACAAAGTATCATGGAGAAGAGAGGTGAAGAATGACACACATGCTGTATGGTGATGAACAAATGGCTATGGAGGCAAGTGGATCGAGCTGCAGGATGGTCACAATCGTGCAGATGTGCATGCTGTCCATTGCTGTCAAATGATGTTAAGGTAATTTATAGGTTTTTTTCTCCGTTCAGTGACGTCCATTATACATGACAGGGGGTGTTTCTGCGAAGCCCTAAAAGGAAATGTCAAAATGCATTTGACACAGACAGTTTGACGACTCCCTTATAAAGGTTAGTACGTGATTTCCATGTGATATAAGGTTGTTTAGACAAAATATACACATCAACCTCAGGAAAGCAGTTTTCTTGTATTGCCTTTCTTATTCCACTGTCACTGGCTAGGGCACTCAGTGCATGCAACGGCCCATATTCATGTAATATGCAGAAGGCGGTGTTGACTAAAGCTGGTACCAAACTCCAAGGGCTCCATTTCCTGCCAGAACAAAGCCAATGTGGCTTCTAACGCAGTTGATACGCAGTTTTCCTGCATGTCTGTTTTTTCCTGCACATTGGTGTGTTCAGTATTTTACTGCCTCAAATAAATACATGCATGCAATTACACAGAGGAGAAGTACCGCTGAGGCCATGTTGTGCCAATTAGGCAGCACAGTGCAATCTTGGTGCTCATTTTGACTCGAAATACTGATGGCAATAACACCTGCTTATCACAATCACAGGTGCAGGGAAGCACGAGATCAGGTACCCAAACATATTTTAATGGACACACCAGTTTAAAATTAACCTTTAAATGCTCAACCAATCTGCCAGAATTAACTCCAAAAGGTTTAAGGTGAAATCATCTGAATTATGACATATGTGTAATAATTTCTTTTTTTTTTTTTACCGCAATCTTACCAGGTGGTCAAATTGAGATCAATTCATTTCTATTCAGGTGTATTTATATAGCACCAAATCATGAGGACACTTTACAAAGTGAGGTCTAGACCTTACTATTATCATTATTATAGAGAAAAAACCGACACATCTCCTTTTCAAGGGAGACCTCGCCAAGGTATTATTATTTTCAAATAAGATGAATATATTGCACTTATGCACTGTGTGTGGCTATATACAGTATATGAATATGGTCAAGCAGTGCTGGCGCGCTGGGATGCAGCCAGGGGCGAGCTATAGCCGATGTTTGGTGACTGAAGATCAGACACAGTATCCAGGTGATTAAACATACAGAAAGCAAACAAAATAAGGCATGTAAGCAGATCATGAGGCATGATAACAAAGGTAAACTCAGCAAGGCCTGGCTGTGCACATAACTGTAGCTGCGCCTGTAGTCACTGTAATTACAAAACACTGTTGGACATGCTGGGCCCTATTGCAGGAAAACAGAGCCTCGAACCTTGCAGAACTTTAGCTTAGCTTTGACCTAGGTGTTCACACCGCAGTGCTGATATTCAGCAAATCTCAGCTCGTCAACTGTCGCTTTATTGTGTCTAATGGAAGCAAATAGATAAGTGACATTATATATAATTTAGCATGATTTTATCATGTCGCTTAAGAAAAAGACATGAAATTAATGTGGTAAGTTTAATAGCTACTTCTAAATCAGTGTACAGACCATGCTTGTGGTGCTGGTTATGGATGTTTGTCAGTTCTTCAGAATAAATACAGTGTCAAAGAGTCTAATTGAACATGGGTGTAAAAAGTAGGTGGGAACAGTCTGGAACAGTGTTTTTAGATGTTGACCCAGATATGATTACAAATGTGTTTACTTTCTTTGCCTGGAACTGGCAGTAGTATAAGCACGATACTGTAACTCACTGGCCACGTATGCAGGAAATGACAAAAGCAATGTTCGTACTTCTACAAAAAACTCAGTAGAATAAGTGTATGGCACTTTAGTTTTTTTCACACAAGCCTCAGTTTTGCAGCTTTTATATGAGTTTACCATTTACTTTATATGACTTTTTTGAAATGTTTCACACATCTGTGTTATGGAACTACTGTCTCATTCAGTGACTCATTCAGACTAAAAGGCAATACAAGAAAACATGGAGTTTCATATTATCTATTCAAAAACCACTAACCCATACAGGTGTCTTGAAATGATGAATCTGTTCAACTGTATTGGATGTATATTAAATGGATTTGGAATCTTACAATTTTCTCTTCCTGTCCAGGTGGATTCCTTAGGAAAAGACAAAGTGGAGCAAATAAAATATCCACTACTCCGATGATGGTCATCAGCCACGGGAAGCCAATGCTCTCAGCTATGGATCCTCCAATAGATGGACCTGCATCATTAAAGGACAGATCACATACCAGTTCAGTATGGTTCATCTGACTCAGGGAAGCAGTTTGGATCCTGACAGGAGGATGCATTGGTAACAACAGGTAAATAGTAAAATATTAGGGTAAATATGGAGAAGGGGTCATGTTTGTTAACAGACAGGAAGCAGGGTAATACCAGGGTAATAATAAGGTCATTTACTAACAGGAAATCACCATTATTATTATATTTATTTACTGAAAAGCGACCCCCACTCCCCAGCCCTTCAGAAATGCATAACCATGTGTTTCTAGTTAATGTCATGGCACAAACACTACTTTTCCTAGATGCCACCGGCTATGTTACATTAGTAAATGTCAAAGGCAAATGACAATATCTTGAAACAGAGACACTGACTCAGGGCTGATAAATAGTTTTCTTCTTAATTGTATGTAATTATTTTAAGGCCAGAGAAATTACTTGAAAACAGAAATCACAATTTTTATGTAATATCCATGGATTTCCAAAAAATATACCTTAAGTGTAAAAATGGATGCATTGCACTTTTGATGTTATAATACCTTTGTGTAAAACAAGAACTAGGCCCCCACAGCAAAACCAGAATTTCATTTGGACAAACAAGATAATGCAAAGGGACTGCACATTCTCTGTTACTGCTCACATCCACATCACAGGTCTCCTAACCTGTAGATTAATAGTCTGTAGTATCACTGAGGCTTTGTATCTCTGGTTCATGCTTACCTAAAGCAAATCCCATGCAGAAAGCCACATCAGCAATGGCATACACACTTCCATAAACAGACACATGCCGCAGGTCCACCAGGTAACCCATTATAGGCATCATAGAAGAGTCCACCATGCCTGTAGCACATCACAAACAATACAGGTCTTACACACTGGGACCAGACTGTGCTGGAGGTGTTTATTTAGCACAGTACTAATTTAAGAGACTTACCAATAGCAAAGCCAACACCAAAGTTTGGAAGAATCAGACCATAGATGTCTCCAGCAAATGGAACCTAGAACACACAGGCTTAACTTATTCCTACATATCATAAACAATAACACTTTCAGGCCAGGTGGGAAAATCTACTGTCGATCATTTGGACATTCTGGATGTTTCTTTACTATAGAATGATTAAAAACAACAGCACATCCTTGTAAAGTGAGGAACTCTTTAGAATGCGGTTTCATTGAACAGCACCAATTCTTCTCCATTTTTAACTCTTTAGTGACCAACCTAAGATATTCTGTAGGTGATATCTGAATTCACACTGTAGTTGTCTCACTCATACTTACACATATTACACTGATTCCAACCACCATCATTCCAATAAGAGCGCAAAGCCATCTGTGGAGAGAAGATGTGAGAATACATCTGTATATACAGCAGCTATAATAAGTATTCACCCTCCTAGGAAGATTTCACCTCTAATCTTTTTTTTTTTTTTACAACATTGAATTATGATCTAAATCGGTCATAATTTAATGTGGCTTTTTTGACACAGATGAAAAAAAAAAAATCGCAAGTAAGAATATAAGACAGAAAATAACTCGGTCTTCCAGTCACCACATTCTACCCATAGAGGCATAATGTCAACCAGTGACCAGTATATAAATGTACACCTTATGCAGTACAAGACCATCCATAAGACTCATATCACCCAAGGTAAAATGGGATTGACTGACAAAGACACCCGTGCACCTTGGTTAGTACTTACAATTACTTCCATGTTACATGGACCTGCCAACAAGCTCTCTTCCTCTGGATAGCAGTCACAGAGAAACTCTCCACTACCTTGTATAATCCCTCCACCTCCTTCACTCTGTTAGCTCAGTAATATCATAGAAGTTGACAATCTCCCAGTTAAATATGGAAACCTACTCTTTACTTCTTAACAAGCCTCATGACCCAGAGATCTAAAACTAACATCCACCCACAAAAGAAACATTTCAGCTATTAATGAAATCTGGAATCCATTCTTAATTCATTTTGACTACAACCAGACACCTGGGGCCAAGGCACAAATGCTGCTGTTATTGATATTATTATTATTATGGTAAATAATAACATATTGTATGAAGTCCTACATACTCTAGGCTACATGTTTTTCTTCCTTCACAATGGTATACCCTTTTTAGATGATGTCATACACACACACACACACACACACGCACACACACACACACACACACACACACACACACACACACACACACACACACATATATAGCCTATTTGAGTTATTCCATTATTTCTGATTTGTTGCACTGGGGGCTGTTGTACAGCCATAGTTAAGTGTTCATCAGAGTAACGGGACTGTTTAGACATTCAGAATTGGAATCAGAATCAGCTTTATTGGCCAGGTGTGTTGGACAGACGAGGAATTTGACTCTGGTACATCGGCTCTCAATGTGTATGTACATATCCTTATGTAAAGCAGCAATGGGCAAGTGAGGTGTGCAGGTCCTCCATGGAGGGCAGGCTGGGACTGATGGTTCTTTCTGTAGTCCTCACTGTCCGATGAAGTCTGTACTTGTCCTGTTTGGTTGCTGAGCCAAACCAGACAGTGATGGAGGTGCAGAGAACAGACTTGATGATTCCTCTGTAGAACTGTATCAGCAGCTCCTGGGGCAGGTCGAACTTCCTGAGCTGGTGCAGGAAGTACATCCTCTGCTGTGCCTTCTTGGTGATGGTCCTGATGTTGGACGTCCACTTCAGGTCCTGGGAGATAGTGGAGCCCAGGAACTTGTAGGACTTTACTGCTGATACAGTGCTGCCAGGGGGATGGGGGGTGGGAGGGATGTCCGGGTTTAGCAGTTAGGCTAATTACATCACAATGTAACCATCCCACGCAGATCACACTGGGTCAGGTGCACATTCATTGTAACATTATGTTAGCTATAGTGCAAAAGACCGGCAAATTTGCTCAAGTATATCAAGTCGCAGTAGGTTAGCACAGGCCAGTCTGATCATAAATTTCAAAAGGACTGAAGCAAAGCAGAGAATAACATGAAAGAGGACTCCTGCTGTTTTATATCATGGAAGGTAAGAACGTGTTTATTTAACATTACTGCATCATATCGTCTCTGGTGTGCTTTAAATTGATGATGTCATACTCTGAATATAATGTTAATGTGAAGTGGAGTAATAAGGCTCCACATATGATGGCAGGCTTGCTATTGATTGAACAGATTAGAGGCCGTAGCCTCGCAGTCCTAATGTATTTAGCATCAACTGCGGTTGACATTTATAACTTGCACTTGCAAATGCATCTTCTTATGTGTGTTTTTTTTTTTTTGGCTGCTACAAACACAACACAAGTAGTGTTTTTCTTCTAAGCTGCTCCCTTAGTGTGGAAACTAGTAAAAAAAAAAGGCACCAGTCATCGAGGATGTGTTTTCATTCCAAGACCTTCTCTCCCTGCACTGACATGTCGGGTCCGGCACCAAGTGATATTCTGGGATCTCATAATTTACAAATTAAGCACTGAGTAATATGCATTCAGGTCATCTGCCAGTTGGTCTTCCACAGGGTGGGGGTAATTTCCTTTAGCCACTATTCTGTAGGCTTCTCCACACAGTGGCAGGGTCACTGGCTGAAACCTGGTCTTTCAGCTTTTCAGAGTAGCTCCTCCTTGCTACTCTGATCTATCTTGTCAGTGTGTTCCTGGCCTGCCTGTACAGGATCCTGTCCACACGTCTGTAGGCCTCCTCTTTGGCAGAACGAAGCTGCTTGACCTCAGCCATGAACCAGGGTTTGCTGATGTTGAATGTGCCGAAGGTCTTGGTGGGCACTCATGCGTCCTCACAAAAGCTGATGTATGATATCACAGTGTCAGTCACTGCATGCCGATCTGTAGAGGCAGCTTCAAAAATCACCAAAAACCCTCCAGTCTGAGGCCTGTAAGTCTGACTTCACCTGCTTGGTCCATATCTTCACTGTGGCAACCTGTGAAGAAAGTCAAGAAGTGCAACAGGCTGTTTGATGTAATTCACCTTGTGGTCCAGCAGAGGACATTTTTAAAATTCACTCCCAGCTTGACCAGTTACATGGCATGTTGACCTGTCAGTAAAGTAAGCTAGTAGCATTATGTTTACAAGGACAAAATACAGGATTGATAAACTGATTGGACAATAATGACACTGGAGTGGTGTCAAGGTAAAACAAGTTTGCTGACTCCGCAAAAAAGCAGATGTCTTACTCAAGTACGGCAACACCAACACCATGGACTCACCTGCAATCTTGCTGTACAAGTGAGGCATCTAAGTTAATATTACCACAGATGAGTGGAGCAGCGTCCGTTCCACAGCCTCGCCTGACTGTCCTGCCTCTGCGGCATGTCATGATATTTTAGCTAAGCTCTCTTAGCAGTGCATAAATCAGCCAAAGCAGTCAAAGGTACTAACTAATATTTTTTAATTAAGTATTGAGAATATTAAGGCCAACTCTATACTTGATTTTTTTTGGCGGAGGCAGGTACCATATGATGTGGGTTGCGTTTGAATTGATTTAAATGAATTATATGTCAGATTGAACACTGTTCGAACATGATACTGGGAAAAAGTGACAGCCCTCAAATCTCATGTACTGTAAATCTGACTGTACATTTATTGAAGCATTTCTCTGTTTCTTTTGTAAATGTCCTATATCTATTACTATCTTCCATGTCCTGTCCTTGTTAATGTCCTATGTGTTGTGTTAGAAAAACAAAATGTCAACTCTGCACAGCCTGATCCAGTCCAATCACCTGAACTCCCTGCAGGAAATCAGAAGGGCCTGGGTGGAAGAGCCGCAACAACCAATTTCTTAGTCCTGGAAGGTGCACTTGAAAATGTTAGCACCTCATCTATAGTATTTGCACCAAACTAGCCTTTATCCATCTTAAAGTGGTCTGCACATTTACACAAAGGTGAAGCCCTACAATGTCCATATTAAAGCAATAAGGTTATTTATTCAGTTTCATACTAATGTTATTCACATTCATTTAGAAACTCTTTCATACAGTACATTCTCCCTTTCTCCTCCCTCTCTCTCACCAGACACCAACATTCTACATACAGTTTATACAACCTCAAAGGCAAACCTCCCAAAATAAGTGCAAAAAGCACCATTTTTGACATCCATTAAGATCACACTTAAACTAGAAGCAGCAACACTGGTAGTTGTGACAGTAACAGGAATAGTAAACAGTAACAGCAGCAGACCAGTTGGAGCAGGGTTAGCACTAGAAACAGCATGAACCTGTAGAAATGGTTGTGTCTCTAGCAGCAACACCAGTATCTAGACAATCAGCAACTTCAGTAGTGGTAGTAGAAGTAGTAGTATTAGTTGTGATGTGGTGATGAAAGTCCTGCTTTGACATTAAAGGGATTTGGTTTATGATAATAATGAAAACAATTTTGGTTAACAGAAGATTCAGAAAAGAACAATATAAATGTACAAATCCAAAAGCCATTCCACAGGAAAGCATGTACACAGAAATTATGGTCTGTATCATCAAGGCCTCTATAAAGCCAGCCTTACAAACACTAAAAACACTGAAAACTAATTTAGAGGAGCGGAAACAGATATCACATCCACAGAGGGAGCGAGAGAGAGAAAGAGAGAGGCTAGATAAAGATAATTTCCTTCCCTACCTGCCCATCTTGTGTGCCAGTGTGGCAAAGATGTTGGTTCCAATAAGGTAGGAGATAGACGCTGGTAAGAAAGCGACGCCTGTACCGCAAACAGACACACACATTGAGATGAGGGAATAAAGGTGTGGGAAGGCTTTTCAAGATAAGCAGATCTCTATCCACTGTCTGTAATAAAGACTTGCCAGCATATGACACCCTAATATCCTGTTCTCCACTCATCCTCTTTATCTGACCTTGACTTCTTTTACAACAGTCTGGAGAAACAAACCAATAATAACAAAGAATGCAGAATGATGTTTTCTGATTGACAATATCTAGCAGGATGGAGGAGTGATGCTCCTGCACAAGGGCAGGTTGCTAAGTAGGAAATGTATATGTATAGGAATATATTATGTAAACGAGACAGGAAAGAATGTGAAGAACTGACTGAGGATATTATTTGGTTGTAATTAGTACCCAGAGAGGGGTTTTGGTAACACTTCAGAATACAGCCCACAATTTACAGCATAAGTACACTGAATCTACAAATGGGCTTCCTGTGGTTAAATGGAAAGAAATAAAAAACTTGCATTGTTCATCTCAGGTATTTATAATTTGAAATGGAAAGTTTGTTTTAAAATAAAAGTATTTTTTATTAAGAATCCTAAATATTTAAAATAAGGATTTTACAATGAACTCATGGCTAATAGATTGCATTTGTGATAAATATATATTGTATTTAAGCTATAACTACATTGTATAAGGGGGCAACAAAGCATCACTTTAAAATCCAGCCTGCATACCTTTACTAAACTGATAGCTGATTTATTTAGCACATTTAAAAACAACAGCCATTGACCAAAGTGCTGCACAGTAAATCTAGGGAAAATAAGCTATCATAAGCAAAAGTAAAGAGCACCAAAACAGTAACAGATTAATAGCAGCAGGCAAGGCAATTGACAAAGAATAAAAGAAAATAAGGTAGGATGAAGATAGCTCAAACACCAATCTAAAAAGGCGGGTCTTGAGCTGGGACTTAAACACAGCTAGTGAGGGCACTAGTCTAATAGATAGAAGTAACTCATTTGAGAGATTCAGACTCTAACTGAGAAGGCACAGTCTTCTCTACTTTTCTTTTTAGTCTTAGAAACAGCCAGTAATGAATGATCAGCTGATCTAAGGGTTCTGGTTGGGCAGTAAGGTTTTAGGAGTACTGAGAGGGATGAGGGGGCTAGTCCATTTAAGGCCTTATATGCCATCAAGAGAATTTTAAAACAAATCTGAAAACTGACTGGTAGCCAATGAAAGCAGGCTAGAACCAAGGAAATGTGCTTCTTTTATGGGTGTGAATGAGAAATCGAGCTGCTGCATTTTGAACATGTTGTGGGTGATTTATCGAGGAATAACTAACACTAGTGTAAAGGGTGTTACAATAATCAACACGGCCCGAAATAAAGGCATGGGTAAAACTCCCTGGATAAAAAAGGTTTAAGTCTTGACAACAGCCTCAACTGAAAGAAACTGGATGTGATCACAAACTTGATATCCTTATGGAATTTAAAGTCACTGTTACAATGAGTTACCATGGGGTCTGAAAATGGGATGAGAAAATGTTGATGCCATTCATTGCAGTTGTCCTAATGCCACTTTTTCATGGACTTTGCACAGGAATGTCAGTTTGGAAATATTTCTAAAGTTTGAAAGGATGGAGGGGTCCAATTTAGGTTTCTTAAGTTTTGGCCGAACAAAGGCATGATTGAATATTAATGGAACAAAAGTTGCAACAAATTCTAAAAACTCTTTTTTCAGAAACGAGGAGGAAGTATGTCAGAGGGACAACTTGAGGGCTTACAGTATATTCTTTAGCACTGAGGTCATAGCAACTGATGAGTTGTGATGTATCTTGTGTCATGATGCATTATGTTGAAAGGTGTTTGCTTCCTATGTGTATTTTCTGTGTCTGTACTGAACAGAGCTTTGTAGATACCTAGCTGCCATTTCCTGGCACACATGGTCTCCATCATCCAGATTGGCAGCGTTGGCTCCATCATGGCAATGGCCATATTTCCAAAACAAATGGCACCTGGGGATCAAGACTGAGGGTAAGTGGAAGCAGTGTCAATTATGGTCTATTGTTGTTCTTTGTTCTTTGGTCTTTATGAATAACATTTCCAACCCACAACCACCTGCACATAGACACATAGAAAACTCTTTTTGTAATTCTGTTTTCACAGTATGTGGCCTGGGTAACTCCTGAACCAGCACAGAGGTATCAGGAGGCTACGAGGAAAGCAGCTTCTGCGTTTGCAAATGGAGGACAACAGGGAGGTCATGGAGGAGAACTTTCTGTTGGTTTCAAACTATCAGATAAATCAGGAATGGAAAGAAGAGTACTGCTGACTTCAACTTGTGATTAACTTAATTTATAGAAGCAGCTGGGGATTGGAAAGCATTCAGTTTGGCCACTTTAGGCTTACAACTCTGCTTTTTTTTTGCATGAAGGTAAAGCTGTAAAATTTAACAGTTCATGTTGCAAGTGTGACTCCATGTGCATAAAAGCAACAGAAACGAAGAACTGGGAAATGAGTTTAAGACATACTGTGGAAGTGTTCTAGCCACATCCACTTGGGTCAAACCCCATGTTAGTCACACTGGGAGGATTTCATATCCATGCAGGGAACCCTATCGAGTCCTGCATGACAAGCTTAAGAAAGTAGTTAAGAAGAAGGGTGTCTGGGATGCTTTGCTTAAACTGATAACATTGCAAGTCTGACCTCAATAACTGGGAGAAAGGGGATAGATGTCACTGCACCGACTAACAGGAGAGACAAAGACATTTTTAAAGAATATAACTGCAACTAAACTTAGCTCAAGACACAAATCGTCTATAATAGATATTTAAAATCTTAAGTCACTACTGCCAGCTGATTTACACATACACACACACACACAAATATGTTTTTGTCATGAATAGATGACCCTGTTTAACATGCAGCATTCACTTCACAACAAGTTAAAGCCTATATTGCTGTTCTGTAACTAGCAAATCATTTGTTGGCTTTGTGTTTAGTTGACATATCCTGTCTTTTATTTGGTACAATTTCTCTCCTCATTTGTTTCCCAGCACCAATAAATAAGGTATCCCACAGATTCTTCTACAGAGTGGGCTGACATAGGTCTCCTCACATCAACTGGGCTGCAGTTATTTTCTTACCAGCTGCAATTAGAATGTATGGATCCTTCATCAGAGTCCACAGCGAGGTCCCCTTCTGACTCTGTGATGGACAAAGGCACAAAAACGAGACTCAGGTTACAAATCTGTTCCTGGAAAAAAGCATTTTTACACTTCTTTTAGTATGTTTGCATACACTGTCAAAATGACCATTAAGGTAACCACCTCCTCTGCCTGATATACTATAACCTTTGTGAACTAGTGTCTAAGCAACAGAGCATTGACTGACTACACCAAAGGGCAAGCCAGAATCTCATGGCACGCCTGTATTTATGGTCATGGAAAGTGGCCTCTATACAACATGTTACCAGCCTTGTCACTTTATAAACATTTATTTTTATTTACTTATAATAAATAAAATGAGTGAATGAGAGAGGAGGGGTAAATCTGACATGAGAGGGAAGCATCAAGATATAGTCACTCCTTATAGACTGAACTAAAGCTTGATTTATATGGTCCTGGGTTAAATCTACACAGAGCCTTTGTCATAGGCTATGTAAGTGCCGCAACAACCTGTGTACTGGTGTGTCTGTATCACCCTGCACTCACACCACCAAAACACTAGTTAGTGGTAGGCTTTGTATGCCACTGTGTTGCATTTCATCACCACTTATTGTACTAACAATGGTGACTGAAACTGAGCAGGCCATGTTGAAGTTAAGACTAATAGATGTGGAACAGCGGTTACTTTTACTGAAAATACTGCAACACGTAAGTAAGAAGACCTCGGAGGAAATGTCTGTAGGACCATTGAACCAGCTAAGGCCGAATGAGGGCGATTTTCTGTGCTTGTCCTGCCATCCAGCCACCGAGAGAAATGTATGAGGAAATGCGATGCAGCCAATCACTGTGTCACCATGATGTACATTTCTAGATTGGTGCACGTCAGGCTACGGCATAGAGGATGAGGCTACATGTTATCTACAGTGTAGGTACAGTGTAGATTTACTGCAGAGCCATAAATCAAGCATAAGAAGAGCGCACTGGGGGAAAAATAGCATAAAAACAGTAGCCTAAATACATAGCCTATCAGCAGAGAAAGTATGCACTGAATTTGTCTAAAATTCTACATGAAAGAGATGCATTGAGAACAAAAACTGGTTATCATGGAGTTGAAAAGAAAACATTATAATTGTAGCTTAAATTTGAATCCCCATTGAAACATTTGCCATTGTAAATACTATTTCCTACTTACAAGCTAGTGAGCCACGTGCTTGTCTGTGCTCGCTTTTGTTTGTAACTTCCTTGGTGGTATTGAAGAGAGCTCATTTGTGGCATCTAGACTTGCGATTTTTTATTTCTTGCAAATGGGGATGATGAGTGTCTCCATTGCCATGTAAGGTTTTGTCTACTTTGCAATAAGCTCAGCTAGCATGTAACTTGGCTCTATCGCCTTATCAAATAATTTCACACAATCCCACAAGCAGCTGATCTGCCTCTGGTGCAGATCCCGCACTCTTCTGAAGCAGGCCCTGTGTAGAAGGGATGTTTGGTAAGTGCCTCTACAACTTGTTTAGCACCATGCTAGCATTAGCTAACTTCTCCTGACAGTTGACGCACTCGGCAGCAAGTTCCAGTAGCTCTGTCCTCTTTTGTGTTTTTTTTTCTTTCCGTGCTTTCTGAATTTGTATATCAAGATCGGTGTGTGGTATCTGTTCCTATGGTGTCTTGTTGCTTGCTCTCTGTTGTTTTTGTCCCTTGCTGCTGCAGGAACACTGGAATTTCCCCACTGTGGGATCAACAAAGTTCTACCCTACCCTACCCTATAGGATTTGCCTCTGAATTGGGAAATGAGTCCGTACAAAGTACTGACATAGTAAGTAAAAAGAAGCAATGCACGGTGTCCATTACACATGAGAACGTGGTAACTTACTGCCGTTGAGCGTTTTATAAGAAGTAAGTAAAAAATTCATTCATACCTTCGTGTATGGTTGTCACAAAATCCCACATCAGACCTAGACTTGCCTCACAGACATGCCATTTAGGAACCACTGCCCTAATAGATAATATCTATAACAATATTTTGATGCAACAACATATTTCTTCTCCAGTAGGCAGCTACCCAAGGCAGTGTTACCTGCTACAGTTCTTAAATGCATGGAAACCACGGAAACTGGCCGACTGAAATTTTTTGTTTTCCAGCAAAAGCTATGATTATATTTTTTCATTCTAATACCTATGTTTCTAAACATGTGTCTAAAGAGTCCCAGAACACAGAACTGCGTGTCCTCTTATAAACATATACGTATGTGAGTGCAGAAAACATATACCAAACAGGATACAAGCTATCTGAATCAATCAGTCACACAAAGGCATGTTTATCTCTACAGACATGCTGACACATGCTGACACAGAAAACTGTCTAGTTTCACAAGCACACAAATAACTGCATAAAATAACTACATAGCCACAGCCAATACACTAAAAAGGGTGCTGATATAAATTTCCCATGATACACATAACTTATAGCAAGAAGGTTCTGGGTTTGATCCTGGGCCGACCCAGGGACTTTCTCTGTGGAGTTTGCATGCTCTCTCTGTGCTTGTGTGGGTTCTCTCCAGGTGTTCCAGCTTCTTCCTATAGTCCAAAGACATGTAGCTTAGGTTGACTGGCGACTCCAAATTGCTTGTAGAAGTGAGTGTGTGTAGTTGTCTACATGTCAGCCCTGTGATAGACTGGTGACCTGTCCAGGTTGGACCCCACCTCTCTCGCCCAGTGTCAGCTGGGATTGGCTCCAGCCCCCCCACCAACTTTTTAAGGGTAAGTGGTATTGATAATGGATGGATGGATCTTGGAATGATTGTCACTCCAGTTCTACTTTCTAAGTATGAATGATTATATGCAGTCAAAGACATCATACAAGCACGGTCAAAGGTTTTGCCACAAACTCAGCTAGTCGGTTTCTCTCCTGTATGATTTCACAGGAGTCTCTTCAGACTTTGTAACTGTGCATGAACTTCGATGCTATTCTATGCGATTTTCACCTTCACTGCACCAGACAGTGACATAAGGATAATGATAATCACCTTTATTGGCCAAGTATGTTACACACACAGGGATTTGTCTCCACGCATTGAACCATCATCCAGCAAAGGCACTGCATTGACCAATCATGTATGGGGGATGACTGGGACGTGGACGCCTACAGCAAGAAGACTCTCTTGTTTACCTTGTTAGTATGAGCATTCACTGCTATTCCTTGTCAAATTTGGGCCACAGTTAATGTACCATAATTTTCATTAGCACTGGATGTTTTTTTTTTTTTATCTATCAGTGCAGGCAAACTAGAATTGGTGCTAAGTAGGCTACATTAGCAGCATGGCTAACCAAGACACATTGGAAACTCCCGAGCTGGAAATGTGAATGAATCCACCCACGTCGACTCGTCACAACATGGCTGTATTGTAAGCGCCTACAACACTCCCCCTGAAACCCCTCACCCCCTGAACAAGCAGCCCCTGTGTTAAAACACAGCAGTGAGTTGCGTTTTTTTCTGGACTATTGTGAACATTTCGTCACACTCTGTGATACTGGCTGCTGATCATAGTGAGTTAGCTTTTGCCTTGATGAGAAATACTGTCATGTCTTAATATCACAAGATCTCATCACACCCACCCCTGGTCAACACATTTTCATAAACACACACTCGGATTTTTAACAACATATACACGTGTACACTTTTTTCTTCCTTTACTAGTTATGTCCACTAATATATTAGATCATATGTCACCACGAAAACAGAAAACAACATTCTTTCTCAATTTTTTGAAGGACTCATTAATATTCAAAAACTCTGTTAAATGAGTTCACTGATACATCTGTGAAGCGCTTTTCACTCTCTTAAAGCCTAATAGCTCCTGTCCCCGCTGACTACCACAACAATGACATCACACTTTTCAGTGATCACCGTGGCCTTCAGTACAGAAAATTTAATTATTTGCACATAACAAAAACACCATAAATAAAATGTGTATGTTCACAAATGAAATGTTTTAGCAGTCAGGGAATGCTATGTCAAACAAAAAGGTCAAAATGTTTGATTATCACATTTAATTCCATCTATTAGACACTGATGATACATATGAGCTGAAACATGTTTGCTGCTATGGTGTTGTTTTACATGACTGTGTGTCGCAACCCATGAAATTTGCTGCCAGAATCTTTCCACTTAATAACTTTCAATTACCGGTTGCCTGATGTCTCTTGGTCACCAGAGATAAGGAAACCCATCCCCCCATAAATACAAAAAAAGGACCAGCCATTAGTCTGACTAAAGATTACTTTTATAAATACAGTTTCCTTTGTAGCTGTAAATGAGATTTTGTGTGGTTTTACTGCCATAAGTCAGGAAGGCTAAAGGTCATCCACATTTCTGATTTCTCTCCACACTTCCTTTATTTTCTATTTAATAAAAAAAAGCCAAAAATAGTCTTTAGTGTTTTGCAGCTTTAAAGGTCACCTTAATGAAGTAAGTTACCCCTCAGGAAATGAATTATCAAGGCAAACAAACTCACCTCTGGTTCCACCTTTGTGGGCTGAAGAACAAACATCTGCAGGGCTGGGAAAAACACACAATGAATCAGCAGAGTATTTATTTATACGTATTCATTAAGATGTTAATTTGTAAAAACAAAAAATAACAGTGTAGCAGTACCTCCATCAAACACAGCCAGGAAGGCCAGAACAAGGAAAGGGGCGGTCTTCCCAACAAACTCGTACATCACGCTGCCAAATGGGGGCCCAACTGGGGAGGGTAAACACTGGCTTGTTAGTGGTGTGAGCTCAGCTCTACAATCACTGCAGCTACTGTCGCTTCGCCCCAACAAGACAGCTCAAGTTGCAAGAGGTCTGTCAGGTTAGTTTTGAAAAAAAAAAAAAAACTGCAAGGAAAACCTTGTTTGTAATGAAATATTTGCATCGAATGTATTCTAAAACTATAGAATACATATTTTCATTTGTGTACTAAAAATGTGAGGGTAAAATATCATAATTGCTCCTATGAAACCCCAATAATTTGTCATTAGCTTACTGGTTGTAGAATGGATAGTTTGTACATCTTGGTTTCAGCTTTACATGTTCTTTTTTGATTAGGTATTTATGCAAATGAGTCCAAACTGCACAGAGGAAACAACAAGGACGACTGTTGTTTGATGATTATATTTTAAATATTAGGTGGCTCCTTTACAGAAGAATCTGTTGATTGAACTTTGTATGTACATACCTAACACTCCCAGCGCCAGGCCTCCCAAGGCTATCCCAATGGCACGACCCCTCTCTTCATCATCAGTGTACACACTAGCAAGCATTCCCATCCCTGAAAACACAAATGTATTAATTATGCAATGCAAACAAATGTATTTTTAACTTAACACTGACATTGCCTATAATAATACCAACTGCTGAGGTAGCTAGTTTTACGATGACTGTGACATTTATATTTAAAACGGTAACTGTAGACACTTGCATTCATACTTGAAAAATTGTATTTGGATTTATAAGTGGTGTAGTGAAATACTGCCTGGTTATAGATTTGAATGAGTTCAGTTTTACTGTATAGCAAACAGCTCACATACACTTGTAAGTATGCCAACAAAGATAACAGTACTTACGTATGCCAGAATGCTGTTCATGAACTTCAGCTGAGCATTTACCATGGTCTCCCCCTCCAAATTAACCACCAAACTTGGCGACCTGGGCATCAGCACCTCCCTCTGCAACTGGACTCTGGACTTTCTGACCAACAGGCCTCAGCATGTTAGGTCAGACAACACCAGCTCCTCCACCATTATCCTCAACACTGGTGTACCACAGGGCTGTGTGCTGAGCCCATTCCTCTACTCTCTTTTCACCCATGACTGCAGGCCTGTGCATTGCTCCAACACCATCATCAAGTTTGCAGATGACATCATGGTGATCGGCCTCATCAGCGACAACGATGAGTCAGCCTACAGGGAAGAGGTACAGCACCTGGCTGTGTGGTGCACTGACAATAACCTGCTGCTTAACACCAACAAGACCAAGGAGCTCATTGTGGACTACAGGAGGGAGAAAGAAGGCACACATGACCCCATCCACAATAACAGGATGGCTGTTGAACGTGTCTCCAGCTTCAAATTCCTGGGGACCCACATTTCAGAAGATCTGTCCTGGTCCACCAACACCTGCAGCCTGGTTAAGAAGGCTCACCAGCTCCTCTTCTTCCTGAGGACACTGAAGAAGAACCACCTGTCTTCAGCCATCCAGGTGAACTTCTACCGCTGTGCCATTGAGAACATCCTGACCAGCTGTATCACAGTCTGGTATGGAAACTGCTCTGTCTCTGACTGTAAGGCGCTGCAGCGGGTGGTTAAAACTGCCCAGTGCATTACAGGGATTCCCCTTCCAGCCACTGAGGGCGTCC